TCATCTTGTTTTTATTTATTTTATTTTTCACAGCTATCCTTCCCCCTTGGTCTTTTATTCTTTAAATTCTCACCACGTTCCCCTTGTCTCAATCTCTTTCCGCCTGTGTTCCCCACCTCTTTTTCTCTCCCTCCCTCTGTCTGTCTGTCTGTCTGTCTGTCTGTCTGTCTGTCTGTCTCTCTCTCTCTCTCTCTCTCTCTCTCTCTCTCGTCAACTGCCTCCCTCACCCCCACCATTCTCCCTCTCTCCTCTCGTATACTAAAAATGTTCTAAATTTCCCATCTCATTTTCGTCCATCCTCTTTCCTTCACACCTTTCTTCTTTCCCTTTTTCTTCTCTCTATCCCCCACTCTCATGGTCTGTGTGCAACTTTTGTCTCTCAAGGCTCAATCAATCAGTGTCTTTCATTAGAGCAGGCATAATCGTATCGATCCCCGCACACAGGAGAGGGAGGGCAAACGTAAGGCTGGGACAGAAGAACCAATACCCATACAGCTTAGCAAAAACTGGGGTAGAAGAATCGATTACAGGGCATGGTCGCCTTTCTAGTTAAACGGTTACCCGCCCCCCCCCCCCCCCCGACCTCATCGAAAGTCCATTTTTATTGTAATTCGCCGGAGGTAATGAATGCATCTTTACATTAATCTTCGCTTTCCTTCAAGTGAAAATGCAATAGATTTCCTGGACTATCTAAATAGTAAAATAGAATAACATGCCCCTTGCGTTGTCTGTTTTGAATCATGTATAACAGGAAACAATTTTGGCCATTATTTTGTTTTCAAAAATTGCCCAGGTGGGCTGTACGTTGGCAAAACTGGTAGGTCCATTTTTTCCTTTGTTGTTTCTGTCTATCCGTTCTGCTTTCTCCGTGCATAATTGACTGTTGTTGTGTCGATGTGTTTCTGTATACGTTTGGTTTGGATGAAAACAAGGGGTATTTTACTTCTACTCTTCAGCTTTGTACCCTCAGCGTTTTGAAAGGCGTTTCTTGCAACTGCTTTACACCCCTACCAGTAATCTGAT